GATTTTTCTTTCTCAATTTAGACAATCGGACGCTAATATAATCCAGATGGAGCCCCTGATTCATGTACCTTCTCAGTGAATCACTTCCTAGCTCTGTTACAAATGTGAAATTCATTAAGAGCAGATGTGGTCGTGAAAGGAATATATATAACACCATATATACAGTACTGTCGAACCCCTGTGTTGTACTGCTCACAGTCAGTTAGGGATTAAGCTTAAAAACAGCAATGGTGTCGTCAACTAGATATGATGCTGAAAATATCATGTTAAGTAAGTGCATCTTCAACAGGAGTGCATGCTCTGATTTTTTTTAATATATGCATAACACCTCAGTTGAAAGGGGAGGTCCATTTAACACAGAGATGAGGAAACATTCCTTTCTCTCAGTGTGTTGAGATTTCCCTTGTCAAGAAGCAGTCGATGTAGAATCTTCAAATCTTTTGAAGAAGAGGGAGATAGATTGTTGATTACCCAGACAATCAAAGATTAGTGGGGATATGCAGGAATGTAGAGTCGAGGTTAAAATCATGATCTTATTGAACAGCACAGCAGGCTCAAAGGGCTGAGTGGCCTTCGCTTGTTCCTCATTTGTATCTTCATAAGTGGCCATATTCTCCAATTTTGGGGCCTAGTCACAGAACTATTAAATAGTCCAGCACCGAAGCAGGCCATTTGGCCCACTGTACATGCACTGGCTCTTTTGAATAGCAATCCAGTTGATCTCACATCCCATGAAAAGTGAACACCTCTGTATTAGGCTGTCTTCTATCGCTTCTGCCTATCGTAACAGATGGTGATGGAGCAACAAGGAAGAGGGTTTTGGACGTTAAGGATAGTTTTTCCTCTCATTAAATGTAACATCAGGAGATGAGAAGAGGGATAGGCCTCGGGGCTGTGATTTGCCACTCCCTGGTGTCAGTGGCACTATATTGGCCAAAGGGCACGGAAACTGGCAGAGAATAGACCCATTGCACTGCAGGCACTTTCCTAACGGCATTCAATCACTTCATATTTGCCCTGAGGAAGTTGACATGGGGAGTGTCATTTCCATTAGAATGGTAGTTACCTGGGCAACAAAGTACATCCATGTTAGGAGGGAGAACCGGCAGGATGGAGATATTACCCCAACAATATCGGCCCCTTCAGATCAATCCAGATTGGAATTTCATGTTGCCTATTTCAATAACGTAGCCATATCTTTTTAAAGTCCTAATATCATCCTCACAATTCACAATATCTCCACCTGCAAATTCTGAAATTCTACAATCCAAGTCACTAAATCGATCAGGCAAAGGCAATAGTCCTAGTACCGATCCCCAGCTATCCTCACTGTCTACATTCCTGATAAATAATTGACTCCCACCTCCGAGCTAACCTGGAGCAGCAGTGGATGGGATCATAGCAACAGACCAAGTCAAAACAATTTGGAATCTCTAATCTAAACAACGATGCCTCAGTCTACTTAACCCAGCCAGAAAGATTCTGTAAAGCGTGCTTGATTCTTCTTGTGCAGCACTGAAAAAGAGCCACTTGACCTTGGTTGAAATAGCAAAGAAGATTCACCAAAATGTATGTAAAATCAAAATGAATATTGCAGCCCGGTTGAAAGACTTACACAGTCTGATCTGAAACCCCAACTCCCATCAGTCCAGTTGGCAGAATGTCAACTCTATTTCTCTCTCCAAAAATGGTGCCAGAGTTTCTCCAGCACTCTCTGTGTTTGTTTCAGATTTCCAGCATCCGCAGTATTTTACTTTCGCTTATAGTGTAGCACCTTTTTATAACAATACTTGCTCAAACTGGTGTGGGTCTTCCCTACAATAAGAACTATAATTGTCATAACTGGATTGCATGCCATTCCTTGAAGTAGCTACTAATACCACAAATTGTAGAATATACTTTCAATTCACATACAGAAGGGAAACACTTTAATGTTTGGCAGACCCTCACATTTTGGTCTGAAGCAGATGAGGATTTCTTGAGGGTTTAAGCTATAGGGAGAGGCTGAATAGGCTGAGGTTATTTTCCCTGGAGCATCAGAGGCTGAGGGGTGACCTTATAAAGATTTATAAAATCATGAGGGCCATGGATGGGGTGAATAGCCAAAGTCTTTTTCCTAGTGAGTCCAAAACCAGAGGGTATAGGCTTAAGGTGAGAGGGGAAAGATATAAAAGGAACCTAAGGGGTAATTTTTTCATGCAGAGGGTGATGCGTGTATGGAACGAGCTGCCAGAGGAAGTGATGGAGGCTGGTACAATTACAACATTTAAAAGGCAACTGGATGGGTAGATGAATAGGAAGGGTTTAGAGGGATATGGTCCAAATGCTGGCAAATCGGACTAGATTAATTTCGGATATCTGGTCAGCATGGACGAGTTGCACCAAACGGTCTGTTTCCGTGCTGTACAACTCTATGACTCTAGGTTGGTCGACGGTGGGACTGTTTTACTCTGCACTCTGCAAAACGGTGTTGACACAGGCTTGGAGGGTCAAAGGGCCTGTTCCTGTGCTGTATTGCTCTTTGTTTTTTGTACTATCAGAGTAAAACTGCACTTTTCCAAACACATTCACCATCCCTGACATTCTCTGAACCTCTGCTTGTGTGTTGTATGACCTTGACCAGGGCAACAAAAGATTGAATTCACAGGCTGTGAGTGATCCAAGTGTCAGCATATTTATTATTAGTGCAAACAGATCGAGTCTATCTGAGGCCATAGCCTTGAGGGAAGCAATCTCTCTGAAGATCAATTTACGTACTGTTGCAATGTGACTTGTTATATTTATTTAGTGTATGTGTCTTGGCCCCAGGTTCCCTGCTTTTTAACTGCTCGCCAGGATCAAATTCTATTTAAGACATCAACCATTCCCCTAAGATCCAGGCCCTAACCCAAACCCTAACTCTATTATTGATTTAAAGAAAAGACTTCAGCTAAAAGTTAGGAGGTGTACTGTACAGCCCTGATTGTTCAACCTCTTGTTATACATGTTTGCAATTCTCTGCCAACTGGACTGATGGGAGTTGGGGATTCAGATCTAACTGTGTAAGTCTTTCAAATGGGCTGCAATTTCATTTTGATTTTACGTATATTTTGGTGAAGCTTTTCTGCTGTTTCAACCAAGGTCAAGTGGCTCTTTTGCAGTGCTGCGTAAAAAGAATCAAGCACGCTTTAAGAATTTTTCAGGCTAGGTTAAGTAGAGTAAGGCATTGTTGTTTAGATTACAGAATTGGAATGACTCTTCTTTATAACTACAGAACAAGGCAGTGGTGGGAAGGCACAGCTCATTGTAGTAATATAGGAGGGGCTCACATTTGCCCAGTTGTTGAAATGAATTTACGTAAGGGTTTTGGTTAAAGTGGAAGTCATGCATCATCTGTTCCTCCTCCCCCAGTATACACCGCTTTGTCATTTAACTAGTCTGGAGTCAAGGCCTGGCGCAGGATAGAGCCTAGATGCCAGCGTGGACTGGGTTTGAAGGACTGTTGTTCTGAACTTTTTATACCTCTATTTTCTAATTTATTCCTACGATCTGTAATGCTGGACTCTTTTTTATTTTTCTATTCTTCTAATTCTTTTTTTCAGAACTTGTACTGAAGAATCTGTACCTAGCTACCTTGTACCTAAGATGGTGCCGTTAAGTGGCAACTTGTAATCTTTTCACGGTACTTATTTGAGTACATGTGACAATAAAATTAATTCAATTCAATTCAATAATACATGCTGCCTTAAAGGAACGTGGGAGCCCTCGTGATGAGGCATAAACTGGCCACAAGCTGTTGGTACTAGGGTGAAGAAAGATGAGGTCAATATTTGGATGGAAAGGATCTCAAGAATGCCTCGAGAAAACAACTACCTTTTACTGTTCATGGGATGTGGACATTGCTGGCTATTTATTGCCCATCTCTAAATGTGTACCTAAGAAAGTGGCATAGAACTGCTTTTGCGAACCAATGCAGTCCAAATCGCACTTACGTAGCACCTTTCACAACCTCAGGACATTCCAAAGTGTTTTACAACCAATGAATCACTTTGAAGTGCAGATAGGTAATGGAGTAACTTTGTAGGTAAACAATGTGCATATAGAAAGATCCCACAAACAACACAAGGCAGTTGGCTGGTAGATATTGGCCAAAACACTGTCCTGTATACCTTTAAGTTAGTATCATATGGGATTTTCGATGTCTACCTAACAGCAGATTGGGCTTTAATTTGGTGTCTCACTTCAAAGACGGCAAACCCTCGGTACTGCACTGAAGAGTGAGCCTGGGAATTTTAATCCACAACTTGCTGACTCAGGCCAGTGTGCTACCATTAAGGCAAACCTCACCCAAATAATTAACCCTGAGGTTAGGGAGATATGGAGACAGTTATCTCAAGAGTGGACACAGCACTCCAACAGCAACAAAGTTTTCACCACTTCTCCTGAAAGAAAGATCTGACATCAGGTCAAACCAGTACACAAAGCAGTCGATCTCCTCCCAGGACAGTGACAATCTGAAATATCAGCATCCAGGCCAAGTCTCCTTTGACTCATGCTCCATGCTCAGGCAACCATCTCACAGATTGCATCTGTGATAGAGCACTCAGCATTCAGGGCATCGTAGGTGCAAAACTGTGAGCTCCTACACATTTTATAGCAAGGCATTTGAGGCTTCACACCTACTGTGCTACTGTCCTGCCTTGTCATTGTTTCACCCACAATCAAAGTTCAATAAAGTGTTTTTTATTTGATGGGAAGGTCCTCTGTTGTTCTTAAAGGCCTCAGACAAATTGTGAGTCAATACAGATATTATCATGGCCGTGCAACATATTGAGTCTCCACTAGCAAGAAAGCAGAAATACATAAGCATTTTAGAACAAAGAGTCTATTTTAGCAGTGTTTACTATGGCCAAGGAATTGTACCAGTCAGAAAAGTTATAGCGTGTCTTTGATTAGGCCATCTTCCACAGCATCATAATTCTCCATCGCTCAGGTATTCCAAGTAGCTACCTCTCACTTACCAATAACTCCAAAGATATCAAGGATGTTAGGTGCAAAAATAACCAGTAGATTGATCAAAGTAAGAAGGCAGATAGCAATGACAATGTGCCTGAGCCAGCTGAAGGGTTTGTTCTGGAACAGCATTTGCTGGATAGCACGGCGCACCTGTGAACAAGAAAAATTATAGAAAAGACTTAAAAAGAAGTACCAGAAATAATCCTCCATTTCTGCTAATCCCCAGCTGTTGTGATAAGGAAACACTGAAGACTGCTGCGCTCTCCATGAGCATTAGAAAGTCCAAGCCAGTCAACCTCAATCCAATTCAACTTTCTATCTATTGTGATTGCATCTATCACTATGGTAACAATGGCTTCTCTGATGCTATTCAGATACCAGCACAGGCTCAGCCATTATGGTAACTGCAATAAGAGAAATTCTTAAAGTAGTGTTCTGTGTTTTGTTGCATGTGCTTATCCTAGTGCACAAATGTCACAAATTTATTAACTGCAGTTTAGGGCAACATTGGAGTATAGTCCCCTTTGGAGTCCCAACATCTACAAGGACATTAATTTGCATGACTAAATTGTGAACTCCTTCAGAACTATACTAACACTGACTTTGCATTCTTAACCTTTAAACAATAAATATTTCCATGGGTGACAACAAAACAAATTCTATGGACATTGTCCTGGATTGTGTGCCAATATAACATGGAGAATGACAACAAGGAACATAAAACCATTTAAACTTTTTCCCACTTGGCTTCCTTGTGGAATGAGCTTCCCCACAAAACCAATTCCCCAATTAGTGAGCCTAAATTTTCCTGGCATCGCTGATAAAAACCGAAAGGAGCAGCAGTCATTCCACAACCTCACAGTCAATCCTCAAGGTTTATCCTACAGTCTATGACTCAACTTGCATCTCTAGCTGCAATGAGCTGTAGCAACGACAATTGCCTCATGGTGCCAGGGACCCGGGTTCGATTCCAGCCTCGGGCGACTGTCTGTGTGGAGTTTGCATGTTCTCCCCATGTCTGAGTGGGTTTCCTCTGGGTGCTCCGGCTCCCGCCCACACTCCAAAGATGTGCAGGCTAGGTGGTTTGGCCACGCTAAATTGCCCCATAGTGTCCAGGGATGTGCAGTCTAGGTGGATTAGCCTTGGTGAACAATAATAGGGATACTGTGGAGGGGGTGGGTCTGGTTGGGATGCTCTTTGGATGTGGACTCAATGGGCCAAATGACCTGCTTCCAAACTGTAGGGTTCCTATGGTAAGCTAGAATGGAACTTGAGCTGGCATTTGGTGTGGGAGTTTGGTTTTCCTTGGAATTTTGCAGGAATCTTATGCATCATTGTTGATGCTTGCAGTATTTCATCTTGGGAACCCTTAAACATGAGGATATTGTTCTCTCCCTGCTATTTTCTCCACTCTGTAAACCACGCAGACACATGAGAAATTCTTGATGCAAGGCCAAAAAGCAGCACCATTGTACTCATTAATGTGATGAAGACACCCTCAGGTTGGTTTGACAAGTTAATGCTTATTGTCTTCAACTAGTGTAACCTCTTCACTTGTGTTGGATATATGCACAGAAACAGGCCATTTGGCCCACAAATCCATGTCTGGGCTAGCCTCCACTCAACCTTCCTCCCCTCTTTTTATCAAAATCTACCATCACACTTTGGGGAAATAACTCTCTTCTGTATTTCCCATTCAATCTTTTGGTTCTATTTTACATTGATAGTCTCCAGTTATGCTCTTCCTCACAACAGGAAACGTTCTCTCTGTGTTGACTCTATCAAAATCTTTCTTCATTTTAAAGACCTCTAAGGAGTTTTTCTTGACCTTCTTTCTTCAAGTGAAATCAGCTTGTTAATCCCTTCCTGATAATGTATATCCACAAATTTCCAGTACCTTGTGAACCTTCTCTGGATGCTCTTCCTGTGCCTCAATGTACTTCTTATAAAATGGCAATCAGAATTAAGTCTGGTCTAACCAGGTCCCGGTACAGATGGTGCAGAACCTGAGAGTTTCAGTCTTCTGGAAATAAAACCTGACATTTGGTTCACTTTGTTTTACATAGCCTTGCCAACCTGTGCCTTAAGTACTTACTTGTGATGAACTACAGTTGAAGATATTGTTGGCAGTACATTTTTTTTTTAAGCGTTTCACTTTAAAACAAATTTACTCCTGAGGATTTAGGCAATTCTGACAATACCACATTTAGTGCTTATCTCCAGTTTTCCTACTGTTTGTAAGGCAAAGATAGATAGATTTTTGAACAGTAAAGAAATTAAGGTTTATGGTGAGCGGGTGCGTAAGTGGAGCTGAGTCCACGAAAAGATGAACCATGATCTTATTGAATGGCAGAGCAGGATCGATGGGCCAGATGGACTACTCCTGCTCCTATTTCTTATGTTCTATTCTATATGCAGACAGAAAAAGAGAAATAATGGTGGTCTTTCCTTTTGAACTGTTTGTTTATATAACTGAATGGCTTGCTAGACATCAGGAATGTCAACCAATGAGTGTGGAACTGGAATTTTGTGTAAAAGGTTCTGGGCTGAGGTCTTTATGGATTCCTTCCCTCTGAATAACACCAGTGATACCTGTTGAGTTTTTACTCATGAGCTGACTATTTTTGTGATGGTCATTTTCAAAATATGTTACAAATTAGTAATTTGGACCCAGTGCACATACAGATAACATCAATGGCAATCATTTCTACCTTTATATGGTAGTGTTTCACTTTGCTATTCACCAACGTAAATTGATCCTCAATGGGATATATCCCCAGAGTAAATTACAATACCTTTGCAATAAACTGCAAGCCAACATCAACAACTTGTATTTCTATAGCAACATTAGCATAATAAAATATCCCAAAATACTTCACAGGAGCACTATGAAGCAAAATTCAACAGCACGTCACATAAGATGGCTTTAGGGCCAACAGCCAAACGTTTGATCAAAGATTTAGGGTTTAACAGCAGTCTTAAATAAGGAATAATATGGATCACCTGAGATTATCATTACCCTTCATACAATCATAAATAGTGATTTTCTTGGTTTTAATCTACTTTAATATTTTCGTACATCAAAGTTGAAAATCCCAGTAATCCATTAATTAGGATTAAGCAATTCTGCCAACATTACATTTGCTTTTGATATCAACATCTAAGAAAAATGCTGTTACTTTGCTGTGGTGCATGTATCCTGCTTTTCGAATTCTGTCTTGTATCAAGACTGAAATAGGGAGTTATTAACCTCAACAAAAGAAGAGAAAAAAGCACTGCAAGAGAAACATCCAAGTAGGAAATAAAATGGAGAGTATGAAAGGAATGTTAAAAAGGAAATAATTATAAGTGAGGGAGAAAAATTAGTGTGTTCAATACCTAATCCATACATTTTACAGTGTGGACCATCTGTAAAAAGAATCCCCAATTCTGGCCACGTAAAAAGACAATTTCCAGCACAAATACAGATTCTTGCGCTTACCGGAAAGAGCACGATGGGCACAGTGAGGGTTACTGCGATTAGCACAGCCACACGGACACACAAAATTAGTGTATCGAATGGGTCAATCTTACTGTATGTATGCAGCATTTCTGGCTCAACTCTGCCTGTAATGAAGAAAGAGAGCATTGTGTCAGCTGTAAAGTGATAGGAGTAGAAACAGGTGATTACGAACATCACCTTGATGTAAATACATTTGTTAAATGTGCTCAACAGCCTTTAATAAAGCAGGTAATATGCATGAAAAATAAAACTTGCATTTATTTAGCATTTTTCACATCTGTAAGAGCTTTACAGTCAATGAAATTCTGCAGTAATATAAGAAATAGTAATTTGTACATAACAAGGCCCCATAGACAGATTAGTAGGAACTGCAGATGCTGGAGAATCTGAGATAACAAGGTGTAGAGCTGGATGAACACAGCATGCCAAGCAGCATCAGAGGAGCAGGAAAGCTGACGTTTCCGGCCTAGACCT